AAAATTTCAACGATTAATGCCTCATATACTATTTATTATTTAATTTTAGGAATTTTTATGGGTTTCTTTTTTTAATTTATCGTATATTGACTACTACAATTGTTTTGACTCAACTGGAGTGAAAGGATTTCCTTAATAGTCCTTGCAGTGTTAATTTTTGAAATATTAGCAATTAAATATCGTACGTCTAACATGTATTCCCTATCCTGACCGTAATTAGGGTGAACATTTTATTGAATAACAACCGTAATTTTCTTAGGATTTTTTTGAAAAACTGAGAATATTTAATTAAAATTATAACAAGTATTTTTTATCAAAAATAACATAATCGAGTGTCATTCATTTTTTTATAAAAAAATGTTTAAAGTTAGTGACTTTCGATGTTTTACGTGAGTGGAAGTAAGTGAGCAATAGTCTATAAAGAGAGGCAGCACTAGTGCATGAGAAAGAAACCAATAGGTGTTTTATTCTTGCCGTGGAACCTCCTTCATTAACGATAGAGTCGTAACAAATATTAATTTAAAAAAAAAAATAAGGATCATGTTTTTTGTTTTTGAACGTAATTGTAGAAAAAAAATATACAAAAATTATTCGAAGTCATTATCATTTAATTATTTGTCGAATAACTCGAAAAGTATTTGTCGGTTTCACTTCAAATTTTCAAAGAATATTTTTAAGATATGATAAGTACTTGTATATATTTGTATAAAAATATTTGGCCTGCAGTATTTTTAGCTTGGGTCAGTTGATTTAAGGACGGTTTCTGAGTTGTAACTACTTTTCTGAGTTGAAAAAGTGTGATTGAGTCTTAAAAATCGACTTAATTAAAAATTTTGAAATTATACTGAAAAATTTGTTTTTTGAATTTTACTTTTAAGGTTTTTCATAGTAGAACATTGTAATTTTTAATATGTTTACATTAAATAATTTTCCACCAAACTATTATTAAAATTATTAAACAAATAATATTTTTTTTATTCAATTGTTTAACAAATCCAATTCAATCTAATGTTTAAATAACGATTGTTTAACTAGGGTCATTCCATGTCAAATCGAGCAATAGTTGGAATCGATCCCTTTCGATTTGGACAAATTTTGGTCAGAAGTTTTCTTTTATCATATAACGAAGTTCTGTCAAAGGAAAAAGAATAAAAAAGTTTTTTTCAAAAGATTTCCTAATTCAAAATTTTGCGATTTTTCCAGTTTTTCAATTTTGTTTTTGTAATATCTTGAACGCTAGTATAGATACAGGAGTAGCCTTTTGTTTGTTTGAAAGGGGACATTTGGAGCTATTGAAAAAAAAAATTTGGGAAAAATTTTGAAAAATGCCAAATTTGTCAAATTTTGAATTTTTGAAAATCGTCAAAAATGACGGTTGACAATAAATTTTTTTGTATACTACCTTGTACCAATCTTAAAAGATTCTGAAATTTTTGGAACTGAGTTTTTTGTTTTTCCAAAAATATGAATTTTTGAAATTTGTTAAAAAAAATTTTTTTCTTAAATTTT